GTGGCATTAAGTGAGTAGTAATAGCCCCACTAAATCGTTTTCCGGTATAGGTGTGACACTGCTTTCCATGATAGGATGTCCATTGTTACAGCGGAAGTGATAAGTTCGTGCTGTTTCACTATATCGTTTCCCGGTATATGTGTGAGACTGTTTTTATACGCCCACGTTGAAATGTGGACGTATATTGCCGTCGCCCCCGTCCGTCCGTCCGTCCGTCTATCCTTCGATCCGTCCTTCCGTCCGTCCATCGTCCACAATTTCTTGTGAACGCTCTTACGCCAAAAGTTATCATCCAATTGTGTTAAAATTGATATATATTGTTTACATTAGTGAGATGAAGAAGCCTATTTAATTTCAATAATTTCCGTTTATTACGTCTAGAGTTATGGCCCTTGTTTCACTTTGTTGAACCTTGTGAACGCTCTAATGCCAAAAGTTAACATACGATCTATGTGCAATATTTAAGTTAGTAAAACGAAGAAGCCTATTGAATTTCAACCATTTCTGTTTATTAAGTCTAGAGTTATGGCCCTTGTTTCACTTTATTGAACCTTGTGAACGCTCTAACGCAAAAGTTATCATCCGATCTTTTTGAAATTTAAATTAGTGAAACGAAGAAGCCTATTGAATTTCAGCAATTTCCGTTTATTACGTCTAGAGTTATGGCCCTTGTTTCACTTTGTTAAACCTTGTTAATGCTCGATTGATGATAGTTATCATCCGATATGTATGACATTTATATGCATCATTTAAATTTGTGAAACAGGTCTATTGAATTTCAGCAATTTCCGTCAATAATTTCTAGACTTATGGCGATTGTGAACGTTTGAATGACAAAAGTGATCATGTGATCTGTATGAAATTTATATGCGTTATATAAATTAGTAAAACGAAAAAGCCTGTCAAATTTCAAAAATTTTTGAAGATTACTTCCAGAGTTGAGACCCTTGTTTCAGTTTGTAGAACCTTGTAAACCCTCAAACGACAAAATTTATGATCTGATCTGTATGGAACTGTCTTGTAAAGGCCCCCCATTACCTACAAAGGAATAAATATGCGACAACCCTTGAGAACTGCTAGGACGATTTAGCTGCTGTGGGCGTATGTTTTGTTGCCTGGCAACCTATCTTACATGGCAGCCACTTGTTTGAGTTAAACAGGTTTCTGTGGCCAACTTCCTGACAAAGTATATAAAGACGAATCATATAAAATATAAATGTGTATGAATTACAAATCACATCAAACATAAATTTCTAAAATATTTTTGTTAAAAATAATTAATGACTAAAAATACAGAAAACTGGTTAATATAATATTTATTTCAAAAGTATTTGAACAGATTGAGGAAAATAATAAACGACCAATGATTATACAATTACACAAGATAAGGAAATGGAGCATATTAACTAAATAAAGGCAGAGGATATTCGCCATTCGTTTACGTTATTTGCCATTCTTTTTTTTAAATCGATATTCTCTGTCCTATCACAATGTCTGGTCGATGGGTAATGCTACCAACCACTTAAACTAGTTTAACTTCGACCTACAAAATGCACATACATCATTTTCGTTGCAGTAAAAATGCGAAAATAACTACTACAACAAACGTTGTTTGACACAGTGCAATTGGTGGTCTATTTATAGCCTAGCGGTGACTACACGAAAAAGTACCATACTTTATGACCTGTCTTTGAAAGGTTTAAATAAGACAAAATAGTTTTATTCAAATATATGGATTTGAAATAAACAGTGGTTGAAAATAAAAGGTTCGGGTAGATAAAAAAAAATGAAAATAAAATAAAATCCTGCTGCTAAATATGAAATATAAAAATGGCACAAAAAGACGAGAGATATGTGCAATAAGATAATAATTGTCTGTCTTTGGTAATGTTTTATTTTATGTTGATATTCACTGTATACCCTGATGGAACACACGTGGAGAGAGAGAGAGTGTCGGTTCGCCATACGTCCGTTCGAAACAACCTTGGTAATTTCTGGCTCAATTTTATTTTAATAATTCACTTGCGCATAGAGCTCTTTAGCAGTGGGAGGAGCCGGAGAAAACCCTCGAGATTGGACAGACGGCCTTACCCCTTGTCACGTTCACGTACAAGCGCGGAATCAAAACCACGCTACTTGACTATATAGCCTAACACCTTCTGATCCAAGGCGCACGCGTTAATCTTCCCACCAGACATATTTGGGGTACGCTAAAGTTAGACGTTGGCTGGTGATTCCGGCCGAAAAAGTTCATTTGGAGTTTCCGGCTGAGACGAAAGATCGATGTCGTTAAACCCCATTGCATTTCTTAACATGGGAAGGGTGTAGCACTTTGTTGGTTCAGCACTTAATGATGTACTCTATTTTGCAAAATGACACAAGGACAGCGAATATCGATTTAATAAAAGGGCGGCAGATAACGAAAACAGATGGCGAAATATTCTTTGTCATCCGGATGGCGAATTAGTCTGATGATCATACCCGGTGTTGGATGAGAATGTTCATATGTATTGTTCGGCATGGTTATCTCGGTGTCCTCTGGTTTCCTCCCACGACTAAAGACCCCTACGCACAAGCGACCCCGAAAGAATTTTCTGAGGAAGGAAAAGCCAAGACAAAGTAGAATAAAAGTTGCTATTTGTTACAAGTCAAACTTAAACAGTTTGTGACATTCTAATTTCAGTCAGTTTCAGCGTGGTTTCGATTCACCTGTTATATGTGACAAGGAGTAGGATCGCCTGTCCAACCCCATGGGGTTTCTTCGGGTCCTACCACTGCTAAAGTCTAAAGACCCCTACGCGCAAGGGAGTTATTCAAATAAAAGAATGGAACCCTATGTGTTAGTCCCGAAATGACCCTCTCTCTCTCTCATTCCAGTTTCATATGAGGGAAATTTTGCCCGGATACGCCAATGTATACACGGGTCCTCGTTTTTTCGTACCATCCGAGCGACTACACAGCTGTCCTTGTCAGGCCCTCCGTCCTGCACCACTGACAAGGGGAAATAGCCGAAACAAATTATGATCATGCCTAAAAAAATATATCGTTTAGAGTACACAGAGACGCGGCATGCGAAGCCGGTCGCTTAAACAAACATTCATGATTCTAGAAAAATTTTTACTGTGTATTAAACTGACTTTAAATTTTCTAAATTTTATGTCGAATTTTAATCCCTTAGTCAATTTTAAGAAATTACGATCTCATCCCTGTCTGGTACGCCTATGTGAGTAGATGTAAATGAATTATATGTTTGACAATAAAACACACGGTTGAGAAAGAAATGTAGGCTATGAGTAGCAACTGATTATAGGATGCCAATAAAGAAATGGGGGGGGGGGGCTATGCAATGGTTAGCACGTGCACGCTGTATCATAAGGTCTGTCATTGAGGTCTCTCTCTCTCTCTCTCTCTCTCTAGTTTGAAATGGAAGGTACAAATAGAAATATACGGGTGGCAAATATAACACGCAGTTGGGAATGAAATGTATTGGTAGGAAATGAAATATACGAATAGTATATAGATAGAACATGCGGTTGGCAATGAAATAATATGGGTAGCCTACTCCGGGTGGTAGGCGGGTGGGCAGGCAGATCAGGTAGAACAATTTCAATAAGCCTCTGCTGCTTTTGCAGGAATGAAATTAGATTAAGTTTGTATTTTATCTACTTTGTGATAAACAAAAGTGCAAAGAAATGCATTTTCAATGTGTTAGTAAAGATACAAAATTTCACAGAATACGGAACTTTTCACATGTGTGCTACTTCCATCTACACACGATGTCGGTTTTGCTGTCTACGCTTCGCTGTGAACGAAGGTGTTCATATGCACTATGAAGCTTCAAATAACAAATGACAATTAAAAAGGGATTCTGGGTCTGTATTTTGATTAAAAGCACAAACAATCTGCAAGATTGTTAGGTTTATTATATAAAACGAATGGCGAATAACCATCCTTATGGCTCTAGGCTATTCGCCATTCGAATGGCGAATATCCACTCCGCTAAAGAAATATTATGCTATGGACAGACGAGCGTATTTTCCGCCCGATCGCGGCGATTGAAATTCGCCAGCGATTTTTTTACGGCCGATAACGAACGGGCACACGTAGCGATCGTCTCAAGAGCGTACGCCACTCTGTGAGTAATTATGTCGATCACATGACTTGTCCATCACGTGACTTGTACAAAATGGCAGCAATTTTGAGATCATGTGATATCAACGATCTCGATGATTGGCTTATAAAAATGAATCGCCCGACAATATACGCTAGACACGGGCACACGAGCGAATTTAATCGCCGGCGAAAAATATTCGGCCGAAAATATCTAACATGCTAGATACGAGCGATTGATCGGGCGAATGGTTCGCCAAGCAGAATCGTCGTCGCCCTGAAGGGGCACACGGGCGTATTTTTCGAGCGATTTTAAAAATCGCCGCGATCGGGCGAAAAAATACGCTCGTCTGTCCCCCACTTTACACAACACAACTCAAATGTAAAGTGGGGGACAGACGAGCGTATTTTTCAGTGATGCAGGACGGAGGGCCTGACAAGGACAGCTGTCTAGTCGTTCGGATGGGACGAAAAACCGAGGTCCGCTGTACACATTGTCGTACACGTAAAAGATCCCTTGACAGTTGGAATTCGATACACTAGTAGGCCTTAGTGCCACTGTCCGGCCAAATTTTCTCTCATAGCACACTGTATAGCGTATGTCCGTCTTCATTAGCCCAGTTCGGAACAGAACAGTAGGGCGTTAAACACCATTTCATTCCATTTCGTATGCTACAGTTTGCAATAATTTAAAACTGTCTTTCGTTCTAAAGATAGCAGTATATCACTTTACATAACAGCACATTACTTCTAACACAAAATATTAGCAGCGGTTGCCCGGAAAGAAAGGCCCACATTTTGCAAGAGATGGACAGATAACAAGCTAAACAAAATCGCGATATTTTGTAAAATCAGGGGATATGCACGAATATCGAAAGGAACCCACATCTTTTGGATATAAACATACATTTCAAGTTTCATCAAGATCGGATAAAAACTGTAACTTCTAGATGGTCCACAACCTTACAGAATTTTAAAATATTTGCGTACAAATAGCAGCCATTTTGTCAAGCAGTTTGGTCCGATTTTCACGAGATTTGAAATCAACCATCATTAGTGTATAAAGGTGATATATTAAAACAGTTTTTTTTTTTAAATCAGATAACATTTACTTTTATAGACGAAGTTTATTTAGTACCCACGTGGTCATATTTTCACTTCAGTTTTAATCTCCTGATATATTTTGATAAGGACTGAGTTGTTGATATGTACTGGGTTGTTGATCCATAGTTTGTTTATCCAGTTCCTCATATGGCGATGATGTTGTAGATGGGTTGATATATTCAAGGTTAACGATATCTCTAGTATTTGTTGCATCAACTCGGTCATAAACTGTTGGTGGTATATGAGACAAGGTAACTGGTGGTATATCAGACAAGGTAACGTTGTCTGTACGACTGGTTGTATCATTAACCACCGTTTGATCTGCTGTAAAAAAACACATGGTTACTGTATGAATACAGAACACTACCGAGACAATTGTTGTACACATTTAACTACATAAAGACTACACTAAGACAATACAGAACACTATGGAGACAATTCTGGTTCACGTTAAACTACACGGTCAATTACAATATGTCTACAGAAATTATCCCTTCAATTATCCTTAAAGACTCAATATAAAATATTTTCTTCACTAAATAAAGCTTTTTGAACTTTAAAAATGCCCCGGTGTAACATGCAGTGGTCAAACTTATAATTTTTGCTTAAAAGGTTAATGAAAATGTAATGCCTCAAGTACAAGAGAGAAAATATTTAACAATCTTAAACGTATTACCTTTTATATTTATAAAGCAAATTCTCTGTCCACGTTTCTTCATGATGCACCAGAATGAAACGGTGGCAACACCCAAAACAAGAAGACAGATGGCCAGGCAAATCGCAGCACCAACAGCCCGTTCTCTGGAAATAACGACATCATTACAAAACATGCCCCCACCATCTTGTGACGATACAGCCAGGTTAAATAGAGTCGATCTGGTACCAAGACTATTATTAACATAAACTATGTATTTGCCATCATCATCTTCTGTAACATCTTGTATAGTTAATGTTGATGATAGACCATCATCTTTTTGGTTGCTTCTGAAACTGGTAATTAGCCTTTCACTGCCATCCTGTAGTTGATAATACCAGGTATATACAGGTAGTGGATAAGCTAAAACATGGATTGATAATACACCTGTCTCTCCACGTGGTACAGATATAACAGTTTTAGTTTCTTGGTTAGGATCAAGAACAGGCATACCTGAAATATAGCAAAAAGGATATTGATATTAGTTTGTCTAATTTCTGCCATCAGGATTTAACACGGTACCAGCAACGCAAGCGAAGTGTAATTAAAACAAGAAAAGTATTTAAAACAACTCTAAGAACAGTATGAGCAACCCCCTCAAGAAAGATGCAAAGCGACACTCATTCACAGACACATGACCACAGGATATGTTCTACATCTGCTACCTTCACTTTAGCACAAAATGGCCATCAGATAAAACTATAAACATTGCAATAATGCTTTCGACATATATTTAATTGCATATATTTAATTTTACCTATTAACCCAATGAATAAACAATCATCAAATATCTTGACCTCTAAGCTATAGTACTTACATCTAACATAGAGTGGAATAGTGTTAGATACAGGTTGACCAATATTATTACTAGCAGTACAGGTATAGTTATCTGTATGTTGACAACTAGCTTTAGGTATGGTATATTGACTACCAGAATAGAGTTGTCCCCCTTGTTGTGATCTAGACCAGGATATTACTGAAGATGGAAGATTGTCAACAGAACAGGTGAAGGTTACAGTAGAATCTTCATCTATCATGTTGTTGTTAGCATCTGATGTTAAACTTTTGATGGTCGGTGGATCTGAAATTAATTTGAATTTCCTGAACTAATAATGTATATTTTATCTCTCATAACAATTCATTTTATTTTCTGAGGCGAGGATTTGTACCAACTAAACTAATATTTGACATTTTATATGGCACAAACTATTTGCGCAGAGGGTTTACTATATTAAATATTAAAGGACAATATTGGTTTCAACTATTATTACATATGTGACAGAGGCTTCAGTTAATATCCGATTGACTTAAATTTATGCTAAATGTAAGAATAGGGCAAGACAAGTAGCCAAATGGGTTGTTACTCGTTATCAGATTTTAGTGTGTTGTAAATGTTTCCTACTGTTCTGCTCCTAACCTGGTCTAATGACGACGGGCATAGGCCATACAGTGTGCTATGAGGGAAATGTTGCCCTGGCAGCGGCGCTACGGCCTACTCTTATATCGAATTCCAACTGCCAAGGGATCTTTTACGTGCACGCCAATGTGTACACGGGACCTCGGTTTTTGTCCCATCTGAACAACTAGACAGCTGTTCTTGTCAGGCCCTCTGGGAAGCCCGTCGGAAAATCTGGATGAACTTTCTCGGCCAATGCAGGGATCGAACCCCCGACCTCCAGGCTAGCGAGCCAGCGTCTTACCCACTCTGACAAAAGAAAAAAAATGCGACAACCCTTGTTGACTCTGCGGACGACTTAGCTGCTGTGGGCGTATGTTTCGTTACACCAGCACGTGTTTGATTTATTTAGATACGAATACTTTATAATGCTATAAACTAGTGTCAAACAGATGAAAACTGGCGTTAATGGTGTGAAATTCATTGTTATAAAATTGGCTGCTATTTGACTTCCAACTGTCTGAGTAACCGTATTTCTGTGCTTAATTTTTGCATTTGGAACGACAAGTAGACGGGAGAACATTTCGAGACATGATCTATAATTCTATCACTGTTATATTAGAACTGGTTGGTGTAAATCTGATATTCTATGGTCCATTGACTTTAAACTCTACATACCACTGGACGTAATTCAGTCCACTTATTATAAACAATCCCCGGTTGTACGTGGCAAGAAATATGGTCGCCTGTCCAACTTCGTGGGTTTTCTCCGGGTCCTCCGACTGCTAAAGACCCCTACGCGCAAGCGAATTATGGAAATAAAATTGAACCATATGTTAGTGCCGCAATGACCTAGTTTGTGTCAAGTGGACGTTAAAACCTATTTCTCTCTCTCTCCCTCTCTCTCTCTCAATACACATGAAAGTTGTGGGAAGCTACATCAGGATTTAGGTAGTATAATGTACTTTATGAAGATCATTACCCAGGCTATTAATTACTTTGGAAATATTTTGAAAAATCATTCATGTCATGATTATACTCTTTCTTGGTGACGATATGCCTTCAACTAGTTGGGCACTGACGTGTTTTAAATTTAAAATGTGAAATTTCTGAAACCAATCAACTTACAATAAACAGGAAGAGATAAAGTTGGACTGACGACACTACTGTCAGTATTAAAGCTATCTCTACAGGTCCAGGTTCCAGCATCAGTTGATTGAACATTAGTTATATTAAAATACAGGGTTCTCATGTTACCATTGATACAACCACATGTATATCTGTCTGATGATGATCCAGGTACACAAGTCAATGATTGTCTACAGACTGGGTTAAATGTCTTGTGATCTGTGAGATCAATTCCATATGCCCCATTGTGTTGTTTACGGTGGGTGGGTGTGTGTGTGTGGGTGGGGGGGGGGGGGTCGCATAGGATGTGTCATTTTTAGCAGTATCATTAACATCATTTTCAGATATTATAAGCTATATAAATCAGTCATTCATGTTATGGAAATTCTGGCCGCCGTTTTGAATTTTCCCCATCTTGAATTTTTAAAACCTTTTGTTTAGATTAAACATACATTATGCAAGAGCTAAATCTGCCTATTGCAGTTCTTTCTTTAGGCCTGAAATGTTTTCTAAATTATTATTTAGATATTAATTAACTGATCCAGGCCATAATCAACTCTCGATGGCATCAGATTTCTCCGATATTAAATAGATTAGAACGATTCAGCCATATTTTGATTTAATCTAAAAATGGAGGAGCGAGACTTAGCTTCGAACAACCAGTTCAGCCATATTTTGATTTAAGCTAAAATGGAGGAGCGAGACTTAGCTTCGAACAACCAGTACGGTGGTTGAAATTATTGCACGTGTCTTGTCAAACCTTCAAAGGCTAATATATTCGCTCGCAATAGAGTAATTTGAATGAAATTGTCAAATTATTCATTTTACATTATCTATTTTCGGACTATTGTAGCAAGAATGGTAAGCTCTTTATCTAAATCTTACGTAATGTATCTTTAATTGTTAGCTCATTGGATAGTACATGTCATATCATACAATGAAATGACTATTATCTGACATATTGGCCATTTTAGGAAATTTTGTCGCCATTTTGAATTTTCGCCATCTTGGATTTGGGACACTCATATTTGAGATTATTTTTTATGATCAATGTTTCTGATATCTATTCAATCACTTTAGTTGACCAAACAGATAATTTGGCTTATATGGGTCTGAACACGATTTGTTAGTAAACTTACGAACAGACATGAAAAAAAAATCGAAAATGTTGCTTTTTTCAGATAAATCTTTTATTTTAAAACTGATAGTATTGATTAAACAGCATATTTCATATACCAGTAGATGCAGAATTATATTATGAACATTTTGAGACATATTACATATCCATATAGGTGAAACTGTTGAGGAGTTATGAAGACTTCCTCGACTCGCACTATTTCAAATAAGAAAAAAAAACGGCGGCCATTTGTGAAGATTGCCGCCAAACTGACATTGGGCAAAGTGACCCGGAAGTCCATCAACCAATTTTGGACACTTTAGACCTAAGGCTAACTGAAAATCATAGTTAAACCAATTCATCAAATTGGTAATGAATATCTGCCTGTCACATGGACTATATGTTTAGGGTAATGTGGCACCGGTGAAACCTGTCATTACTGCTTCGCAGTTATTTATTTATTTTTTCACTTGAGCAGATAAATCTTTTATTTTAAAACTGATAGTATTGATTAAACAACATATATCATATACCAGTAGATGCAGAATTATATTATGAACATTTTGAGACATATTACATATCCATATAGGTGAAACTGTTGAGGAGTTATGAAGACTTCCTCGACTCGCAGTATTTCAAATAAGAAAAAAAAACGGCGGCCATTTTTAAAGATGGCCGCCAAACAGACATGTCGGATCGACTTGATGTCTTCGGTTTTACTGAAAAGCTATTTCGAACTTTCTCTGACAATGCGAAATGTCCGAAATCACCGAAGTTGTCTTTTTTTGAAATATTGCCGTAATATTAACAATAATTGTCGAATTTTAACATATGATACATTTTGACATAGCCTGAGACACGGTAAATAGCTACGATTATTTAGATTTTTGATTTTCGATTAATCTTCGAAGATTTTAGGCACCAAATTTTGAAAATTTAAATTTTGACAAAAAACTTTTTTATTTATGAATATTTTTTTATGGTGCTTTACCCATAATTAAAGGGTCATGTGATTTGAACAAAAATATGAAAAAATTTTGTATCGATAATTGAACTTGGCCGCTTTGGCTAATTCAGTTGATGGGTTCTAGGTTAATTATTTATTGCTCGATTTGTATAAAACAAAGTTCATATGCTCAATGGTGCAAAGTCTCAACTTTTTTATTACCGATAAAGCTTTCTGTCAGCAGCGGAAATGACGTAATTTTGACCAAAACTACAATTTTGGCGGTTAGGTACGTCTTTTCGCAAGCAAATATTATTTTTTAAAAATAAGTAAAAAGTAAGAAGATGCGCCATGTAAAGGCGCAAAAAAAGTCGGAAGCAGTTTTTTTAATTTCGATTTCATTTTTGTGCCATTTCGATTTAGAGGTGAAAAACGGTGTAAAATTGAACTATTTACAACCCATTCAGGCGTTTCATATTTTGAAATATTTCTTTGTGAATTTCATAAACTTGTATTATTAATTCATACGAAGAGAATCTATCTCAAAATTAGTTTGTAATATGAGCAGTTGCCGAGAACTGGTCAATTTTGCAAGTGCCACTTTTTATGCTATTTTGACTGTAAAAGAGTCAATTATTATTGGATTTTCATTCAAATGATACCATTTGATGCGTAATGTCAATTGTGACTAGGTCAAAGCAATTTAAAATTTTCAATATCACCGAAAATGATGTAATTTTGGCAAAAACTATATTTATAGCATTTGAAACAAATAATTTATTCAGATGAGTCATATTTGTTATTTGTTAAATATTTGGATAGTTGATTCCAATCAACTAATAGAATGAACCCATAGGATCATATAGATATCACAAAATGGTTTCTAACTTGTTCAGTTGCGGAGAAATAGGCGATTTTCAACAGGTCATTTCTCAAGGTTTTTGGTCCATAAAAGTGTCAATTATTATTCGATTTTCATAAAATTTTAACTGTCTGGTACCTAATCCATTTACGATTTCATACAAGTAATTTAAGATTTTCATTACCACCGGAAGTAACGTCATTTTGGCAAAAACTGTATTTTTAGCCTTCAAAACAGATATTTTATTCAAATGAGTCTGATTTGTAATGTTTTTAAAATTATGATATTTGATTCCAATCAGCAAATAGATTGAATGCATACGATCATACAGATACCAGAAAATGGTTTCTAACTTGAATAGTTGCAGAGAAATAGGCGGTTTTCTACAAGTCACTTTTCAAGGTTTTTGGTCTATAAAAGTGGCAATTATTGTTCGATTTACATAAAAATTTCACCATGTGATGCCTTATGCCATTTCTGATTTCATAAAAATAATTGAACATTTTCATTATCACCGGAAGTACTGTACACTTACATGTAAAAAATGTATAAAATGAATTGATATTGCTGGATTTGGTTGATTGGGCGTCCATTTTATTTGATGTTTGCAATGCTTATGTGGAAACTTGTTT